CACGGCAAGGTTTTAGTCATGTCAATACACACCACCCCGCAGCAAACCCCGGTAGGGTTACGACCCGAGAGGGTTTCCACACGTAAAAAAAGAGCCAATTAAACCTAGGTACATTCTTGTTCATATTTATTATATTCCTTTTATCTGTAAAAAAAAAAAAAAAAAAAAAAACGTGATGATATGTCCTTTTTATTTAAAACTGCCTGCATTTACAAGAGATGGGCTTGATACAACATGACTTTATACAATAATTTTGCAAGTAACATAGCAATGATTTCATTTTAGCTTCAATGAGGGACACGAAAGATAACAACTCTCGGTATATATAGTAAAGTAAACTATCTTTTGAAATTGTAATCTAATATCCCATTAATTGTCCCACATCAGTACCCAAGGTTCTATTAGGTATCTCTTAAGTTGAAATGGCAGGGTAAAAGTTATACAAATTCTCCAATATTGTGTAAGCATAAAAATTGTTACCGTCTTAAATGTTGGTTATAAAATATCCACTAGAAAGATCCCGTTTCATAAAGGTGAGTACTTAAATACGGATAGGTAGGTATATAGGTGGATAGATAGGTACTTTAAGGCTCTGCGCACACTTAGACACTTAAGTAGCACGTAACTTGCCCGAGTTTTAGATTCGAACTGTTAAATGTACAGGCCCGTTAGCTTGCACACTTGCAGGATTGTTCATCATCAACAACCTGAAGACGGATTAAGAATACGGAGTATCACCACCCCTATTCATCCTGTGGCCGTCGTAAGATCTGAGTAAGGGAGCTAGAAAACAGCACTGCAAAGACGAGGAAAATTTGAGACAAACCCGTCTGGCCAACGTGGTATAGCAGGCCAAAACCTCCTTTCTATGGAAAGACCTATGACTAGCAGTGGGCTATTAAAGGCTGTTGATGATGATGATCATGAACAGCCTTAAGTAGTCCATTGCTGGAAATAGGACTCTCCTTAGAAAGGAGTTGCAGGATAGTAATTGAGTACGCAGGAAAGGAAAGATACCTAAACGTAAAAAGAATAGCGGATATTTCCTTAATTGTGATTTGTGTACCTAACAGTTGGTTTACTGATTATTGAGGTATTAATTAATGTTGACTACACAGATGGCACAGTGGTTTAAGCAGTCACCTCGCCGTTTGCTACTGCGCTAAGGGTTGTGGATTTGATCCGCACATGGGTCAACACTTGGTGTGTCCATAAATTGTTGTTCTGAATCATGGTGTTCTTTATGTCCGTTTTATGAATGTTTGTAAAGTCCCCCGCGATACAGTATGCGAGTATACTCCTATTGCTTGTGTTGTATTATAAAAAAAATGTATAACAATAAGCAATGTGGAACCAAAAGTAGGTTGCAGTGTGCGCAAGAAATTATTGATAGGTATGTAAAAAGTAAAAACTATTTGTACTACTGGCCTAACTGTTTGTACTGTGTGTGTACTAGACGGCCAGACAGCGTAGTGGTTTGTGTAACAGACTGCTACGCCAAAGATCGCGGGTTCTATTCCTGCTCAAGTCAAACATTTGTGTGCTTTACCATTTAATGTTAGAGTTGGTCTGGGTATTAATATGTATTTATAGTACAAGCTCTGCTTAGTTTAGAACTAGATGACATTGTGATGATAGCGAGATCGTTCCCAATTATTGTTTAAGAACAGAATCAATACTAATAACTAGTGTATACACTTGGTGGTAAAGGCACCAGTTGATGTCTTTTTATGTCTTGTGAGATTTGTTGTATTTCCACTTCTTTCCTCAATAATTAAACATACATTACATTTCGCTCGGTCAGGTGTTTTTATAAAATTAGACCACATTAAAAATAAAATTAGACAAAAGTTATAGGCGGTGCCATTTTATAAATTAGACTTGCTGTTTAAAGCAACACAACGAAACAATGAATGAGATAATAAAATATTCGTAAATAAAAGTCTACCCACATTAATTCCTAGGAATAATAAACACGAGCTTATCGTTTATTTCGTGTTACTTTTCTACCCGCCGTGGCCATTTATAAATTCGCACTTGGCCCTCCGATATTTTATAGATTTGTATCGAGTTGATGTAAAATTAACTCACACTAGGATTTCAGTTGACCTATCTGTTCTTTTGCCCCCTATACCATAAGAAAAATAATGAATAGTATATACACATTATAACATTTACATCGAAAATTCATTCCATCAACCATTGCATATCAAATATTTCATGAGATTGACAGACAGTTCATGATATCGACATTTGAAATTGGAACGCATAAAAGCATACAGCGTACGTGATTAGAGCTTTAGCGAATCGACGACTGACTTCATTTAAATAACATGTAAAAAAAATAACGTCATAAATTTCTACAGGATTACAAGGGTATAGTTTCTTGTGCTTAACTTTGTATTGTCAAACTTTTCTAGCAAGTCAGACAATACAATCTTTTATAACAAAGTGTTCCTATATAATTATTTAGAAATGCTCTAAAAATTTTCTTTTCATTTCTTCTTTCTTCTTTCTTTCATCAAGGGTATACCTGGTTCCCCGGCTATTAGTACCCGAGACGGCGTGCGGTTTTAGTCGGTTCGAGTCCGACATGCCACCGACAGGTGGTATCCGAGGGGATTTCCGGACGGAAAAAAAAAAAAAAGGGTAAATCTATATAGTTATTTAAAATCAAACAGGTTTGTGTTCGCTTCATAAACTCTAAGTTCTGCACCGTTCAAATGTTGAACAAAATTGACGTGATTTTTTTTGCAGCAGCTCAGCAATGCAATCATAATGTGCAGGGTTCAGCTATTAGCTACATAATTATTGTTTACTCGGTATCATAAAACTTTGATATCACGCAGTTTATATAAAAACGATCCTGTTTAATGCCTCCGCTAAAGCATATCACTTGCATAAGAAATAAAGTGTTTAAGTACGTGGCCGCCCTTTCAGTCTCCTCAGGTTTGGGCTTCGATAACCTCGCATTCGGTGAAAAGTAACGGAAAATACCGGTTTTCTGTGCAGCCGTGGCATCACTCCGGCCGGGCCTGGCCCATTTGTGAAAAAGTATGGCTCTCCCACGGTAACGTGCCACTATGATCTTCCTCGATGACCTTCCTTCAACAACGACACAATTATTGTATTCCCGGGGCGCCACTAAATACCTCTGGACATACAATAATTATGACAGACCTCGACTACCGAGCTGTATGATAAATTGAATAAAGAATTTACTTAAGTGGTCAAGTCTGCAACAAAATAGTTTCTACATGTACACAGAGCCTTACCATACCCTTTATAACCGCTTTTGGTCGTTATTGCGAAAGGGTTTTTCTAAGGGCGGTTTTATTGTAAAGGAAAAAAGTATTCATGTTTTTTTCGATTGAAAAATTCACAGGAATATTTTAAAACTTCCACAAGCATCCATTACTCACCCTAATAGATGCGTGTTACTTACAAAAGCCTATTGAATACCTAATATTGATAGAAAAACAACACTATTATAGTGGTCCCAATGTCTTAAAGTTGTGTTTTTAAAGGTACTATTAAGTCTACCTACCATTTAGTTTATTTAAACAAATAATATAATTATACAACATTCACACAACGCCATCCAGTCCCAAACTAAGCAGAGCTATACTATATAGCTAACTATGGGTACAACTGATAAAAATACATTATGTACATAGAAACACCCAGACCAAATCAAACATTATGTTTATGCACACAAATGTTTGGCTAGAGCGGGAATCTGTTACACAAACCACCACGCCATCCGGTCGTCGTATTTAATCTTTTTTTTTTTTTAAATAATAGTCTTTATTTAAGAAAACAATTTATAATTCGAAAATATTCGATAACATTCGCATTTTTTTTTATCACGTAAAACAAGTTGACAGAGAAAGTTTACAAACGACAACTTCTGGAGAAACCACACAGGTTTATGTTTGAGCCGTCGAGAGTTTACACTTTAATACTATGTAAGTGAATGAGGGTATTTACATACTAGCATTTGTCCACTATATGATACACTAATTACGAGTATTGTGTGCTTTGAAAACATTACATAAATACAAAATAATCAATTAACAATAGCAATTAGGTTAAGGAAGTTGAAAACTGTCGTGAATGTTTTAATGTTCTATTTTTTTTATGAATGAAGAACTTATTTCCAATGCTTATCATAATTTTAATCATCAACTTTTTTACATAGCAGAAAGCTTTGCGTAAACCTTTTAAATATTGTCTTATGTGTTATCATATGTAAAGGAACTTTTCCACGAAGTTTTTTATGGTAATAAGGCAAACATGCTGACGGGTTACCTAATGAGACGTGTCTAGTGACCACAACTGCACCATAACACCTACCACTCTGCAACTAGTATCCTGTGAGGCCGACATATTACTCCGGTTAACCCATGTCTGCTGAAACGTGGCTCTCTCACAGTTAGGTTTTGTCCTGTACACACGTCTTAAATCATTCAAAATCAAAAAGAACATTTTTAGTGGACCGAATTGTGATTCTACAGTATCTCCACCATTCTCGAATCCACTTGGACACATAAAAAAAACATCAAAATCGGTCCTGCCGTTTAGGAGTTCAGTCATCACGCATAGAAGAATTATATATACATATATATATATATGTGTGTCGATTCGAAAATGGTGGTAGCGAATGTCTGTTTCGTACCTACTTAGATCTACACCTACCTAAGACGGACCGTTATTTGTTTATTTTTTACGCTTTCCGATCCTTACTTAAACGATTTTCATGAACTTTTTATCCACGTCGTCTTTCAGAGTTACAGAAAAGGGGGTACCAAAAATAAGTATTCTGGAAGGAATTTCATTAGCGTAATCATTCATTCAATCGTTCATTAATCATTAGTTATATCAATGTGACGAAAGCCTTTAACAAAAGTTAGTTACGAAATAAAAGAATCGAAATAGAAATATAATTTTTATATTACACTTTATTACAGTCAATATTTTAGATTTTACATATTTTACATTTATACACTCCATTTCTTTTCTTTCTCTAGTAAAATTTCCATCTCTTTCTTTAGTAAAGCGGCCTCTGACTCCATCTCTTCCCTTGTTCTTGCCGGTTTTGATGGATGTCCAGATTTGAACCTGTAGTACATACTCGATATATAGGTATACACGGAAAGAAACTTGGTTAGGATTATCTGGTCTGTGATTTTCTAAGTTTTTTTTTATAGTGTAGGGGGCAAACGAGCGAATGGATCACCTGAGGACTAAGTGTGTGTTTATTTCACTTCTAATCGATCGTGATGGTGACCAATCGTAACGCCGAACGCGCTCGTTGTCGCTAGCGAGTTGATGTGAAATAAACTTGCACTAGTCCCTCTGATGGTAAGTGATTACCGCCGCCCATGAATACCGGCATCTCGAGTCACAAGAGCTCCTAGAATCAAGGAGTTGACTCATTCACTAAGTGAAAGACAACGAAAAAGCGTTTTCTGTAAAACTGTAGTAGCACACCATCAAATATATTTATACTGAGTGAAAACTTCATTCAAACTGTGTACTTCGGGCAGCTCTTTGAAAAAGTGCTTCGTTAGGTTACGGGCTACCCCGAAACACATATGTGCCGTCTATCTCACACCTATTTTAATTAGGAAAGTTTGATTGTTTATTTTTTATTCAATCAAGCCAGATATGCTGAACGGATTTGGATGAAATTGGGCCAAAAATAGATTATAGTCTGGAATGGCTTGGCACATACCTTTCAAAGGCCGGTCAAAGCACTGTACAGTATTATCATTTGAAAGGTTAAGGCTACTCTTTATCTCGTAAGAATCGATATTAACGTGAGCGAAGCTGGAGCAATTGCTAGTCTTTAATAAATAAACACAGGGTTTTCCTCCCTAGGGAGTACCCAAGTCTTTTTCAACAGACTCATGTGACGGAACACCGTGTGGTTTTAGACGGTTCGATTCCGACGTACCACTTCAAGTGTATGTGAAGTGGCATGTCGGAACACCACTTCACCTTGATCTCCGGTGAAGTGATGAACCGTGGGGCTTTCTGCACCATAAAAAAACTTTAATAAATATGAATATTGATCAGTGTTAATAATCTAATACTCACTGATCATGTTTAGCCAACTCCAAATATATTAAATCGTTTTCTATAAAATCTCCCTTCTTCCTAGGCATTATATGACAATGTAGGTGCTGAAAGAAAGTAAATACATTACATATAAGGGTTCGTCCATAAATTACACGTTAAAGGGGGGGCTTTATTAATTGGGGAGAGATATAATTCACTTGAAAATGAACTTTAAAACTATTGCGATAAAGTGTATGTTTGAAAATGACAAAAAATGCTCGCGGGGCCTCGGGCTATGTGTATGCACTTTATGGCAATAGTTTTATAGTTCATTTTCGAGTGAACTAAAAAATCCTCTCCGCTGCGCTTCTCTCGGTCTGCGCTTGCCCTGATTTTGTGTGACAAGGGGTGGGAGGGGTCATAGTTTGTGTATTCGCTTTCATGGGGATGAAATGGGTAAGTGCTAGTTATAGGAAATTGAAGCCTAGCGCTACAGGAAGTAAGGAGTAAACAGAAATGCCTTGTGAGTTTGTTATCCTCCTGAATGGTATAATATATTGGAAAGCAGAAAGTACCTTTACTGTCTGTCCAGCGTCAGGTCCATCCTGTATGGTGACTGTGCATGAGTTTGCACGGTGCACACTTTCCATTAGCTGTAACAAAAATACACTTATAGTTCGTTCGCGTTAAGAAAATAGTGACGCATCGATCAAACACTTATTATCATAGCTACGCACCCTTTGAACGAGTCTGATTGTTTTGTAGAAATCTTGCGCCTCGTCCTCCGTGAGATCACTGTTCCTTTCCGCCCTACGGATTGGGGCTATCAAAACGTGTCCAGGTATCACACATCTGCTGACAAAATACGTTATATTTTCAAGGGTTTGAGATCACGTTACTATCACTCAGAACTTGCCATGCTATATTATAAAAAAAAAACACCGTTTAACATCTAAATTGTGTACCCTTATCCATATTTTATTTAGGCGCAGTATGTATGATTCTTATCATTCGCCATTTCACTACTTACTCTCTCCTAGCCATATCTTCACTCACACAGTCCATCTACCTTTTCTTTGGTCTTCCTCTTCCTTGGTACCCTTCAACTCTTATACCTATCACTTTCTTCGTCACATTTTCTTCATCCCTCCGCATGACATGTCCATACCAACATAACCTATTACTTCTTAATTTTCAGACTCCCTCGTATATACTCATTCCTGACCTTGTCTATCCGAGTCACACCACACATCCATCTCAGCATTCGCATTTCAGCCACATTCAGGAATCTCTCATCCGTTCTCTTAATGCGACAACTTTCAGGACCATACAGAACGGCAGGACTGATAAAAAACAACAAAATTATTACCTTAAATTAACAAATGCGTAACTCAATTTTGATTTATAAAAAATGCAGGATTCTCTGATTCGGACATGTCCAAATTCATTGGTCGGTTCATTTGAACAGCCTTGTTCTACCTCCGGGGGTGCTGACTGAACTTCTTTAGTAACAGGAGAGGAGGAGGCGTCCTCGTGTTCCGGTAGAAGATCCTTGCGAAGAGATAGAGTATATAAGGAGTAAACATCTGGTCTGAAAAAAAGTTGAAGCTTTTTTTAATCCCCCTATATTTTTAATTTATACACAGTGTGTAAGTGTGAGAGAGTAGGACAACAAAAATAGAAACCACGGCAAAGAAAAAAACTATAATTTTCAGTAGCGACATTACTGTAATGTCATAATCTGTACATTTAAAATTACTTGCCCTAAATGACTAACTGAGGCAGAGCCTAAACCACTGCGGTTACAAACTTGAAATGTTGGCAGCTGATTTTTGTATATTGTAAGAAAGGATTTTTTGAAGTTTTTTAAGTAAAACTAAAACTAAGACTAAAAGAAATCTTTGGATATGGCAATAGAATAAAACGTGTACATAAATAGGGAAGCAGGTACCCAGGAAATAGTCAGGTTACACATAGTTATGTATTGTTTGTCTTGAAATTATGTTGTTTTTTAGTTAGTACACCGTTGTAGTGGTGATTTAAAAACTAGCATTTTAATGCTAAGGAAGTTTCACCCCTAAGTGGGTAAAACAGTGGAATGGAAGTTCGCCATTTTCAAAGTTAGTAGAAAAACGAAACAATATATATATAACTATACATATATCCAAATTTACCTTCTATGTTGAAATACGGGCATATTCCGCCTTACATCTGTTAGTTTCTCTCTACTGATCTCTGCGACTTTGTAGCAGGGGGACTGTAGCTCGCAGTCAACCAGTATCCGACCCCAGGGGTCCACACATAGCGCGTGGCCATAGGACTTGCGCTTGGCGTTGTGAGCACCAGACTGGGCCGCTGCTATCACATAGCACTGGTTCTCTATAGCTCGAGCTCTGAAATTAAACTTTTCTAAGAATATTCTTAATCAGATCTTTTAAATCTGTACAGTTTTATTAACGACAACATGTATCCACGTAAGTCCTTTTGAGCTATAAAAAGCACGAATTGGTCTACTTGAAAAACCTTTCAAAGCATTACACATCACTAGGAGTTTCATTCAGTTTTGCCTACTTTTACTGCAGTGCTCCTATGAGTAGTAGCGTGATGTTACATAACTTATAACCTTCCTCAGGAATGTTGTAACATCACTATATAATATTAGCTTAGAAGATTATCATATGTCGCATCACTAAGATGGATTGCACTATGGCCTCACTATATTGTCATTTTATTTCATTATTTTCCATTTTATTTTTATTTCACCAGGTGTCGCATGAAACATAACTAATAAATAATCTATCTAATACAAAATGAATGGTTCGAATTTGACTGGTAGTTTCAGAGATAATCGCAATTAAACAAGCAAACAAACAAATATCCTCGAATTGCCCTTTTATTACGAAATATAAGTATTAGTAAAAAAAGTTTGTTCTATACTGACCTCAGTAAGACATGCCAGTGAGCCTCTCCAGTCACTTGTGTGAAGGCTGAAGGGTAGGATAGGATCTCAGCTTTCATTATACTCAACGATGTACTTAGCTCTGGGAAACGCAAGTCGTAGCATATGGCTAGACCTAGAAACAAAATTGTATTTTCTTTATATTTTTAAAGCTGGATATGGTCTCAATTCAGTTCCGATCAACTTTCGATCTCATAACTGTCATAAAAGGTATTTTCGCACTTGTGACTCCTGAGTTCCAGATGTCCATGGGCGGTGACAGGCACTTACCATCAAAAGACCCGTCAGCCCGTTTACTTCAAAATAAAAAAAAAACTGTTACATGCACATACCAAGTTTTCCAACAGGTGTATCAACCGGCGAGACGATATGATTGCCAGACATAGAGACGTCACTCTCCTTCATACGGACGTTCTTCTCTGGGATCTCAACGTCAAAGAGATGTAACTTTCTATATGTCTGCACTATGGCACCATTGTTGTCTATGATGAGATGTGTATTATATGTTTTTGATGGATTCTTCTCGTCCTGCAAATTTTTTTGTTTGAATTAATAATAGCTGTAATTAATACATGCATTTCTGGAGTAGGTCTAAGTAGATCTATAGTCTATATTTACTCAAACAGAGTGCAAACAGAGTGATACAACAACCTCACAGAAAAGCAGTGTTCTATTACGTTGCTACCAAGTGGGTTGCGGTTAACCTTTCACACAGAACCACAAACAGAAACTGTTAGAATCACAACAACTTGGTCTTCCAAATATTTTGAACCTATTAACGAATAAATCTACCTCCCACTCTGACGTTGGCAAAATCTTTGATATCCGAAGGAGCCATTGGTTTAAAAGGAGAATAAGAACTCAATGTATTATTTATCTAATACCTACGAAACAGAAAAAAGGACTCTACATGGTATGAATAGTGTAGGTTAGAAAATTTATGATACTCTAGCAGCGCTCAGTGGTGTTACCCAAGGTTTACAATTCCTTGCTCATCCCATGGGAAGACTACATTTTTTTCGGGATAAAAGTAGCCTGTGTATTAATTCAGGGTATCGGCTGCCTCGTAACCAAATTTTATCCAAATTGGTCCAACCATTCGAGAGTGAAGAAGTAATAACATAAACAAACTATCGCCTTTATAATACTAGTGTGATATGCGCAGAATCAATCATCTTAGTTATACTAAAATGATATGTGTAAAAAATATCAATGCATATAGGTTTCAACCAACTATTGCTTATAATGTTTATATTAACATACCTTTTCATGTATCCCTCCCATAGACAACCAAACTTTATGCGTAGCAGCTAACTCTCTGTACTTTCCAACAGTAAAGCCACCTTTTATCGGCTCAGCATTATTAAATACATCTTGCTTATTTTCACATATAAAGTCACATGCCTCTGGAAAGAAAAGCATCTGGAAAAAAATACTTAAATCTATAAACAACTTTAAATAATAATGCACATTTGGCATTTGTCGCATTTCTTTTGTTATAATTAATGGAGTGAGCAAATTGTTTGTGGCATTGTAGCCCCTAAACGAATGGACTGATTATGATGTGGCTTTTTTGTTTAAGAGCTAACATCATCAGCTCATTTCTTGATGGATGAAGGGATCTCACTAACTTACACAACTCTGATTAATTTAAAACTACTGTCCCTTACTTTTGTGTACCTACCCTTGTGTACCTTAGAAATGGTTACCTTGACCTGATGCTGCAGCCATCCTTGGGATGATTGGATGTTCCAAACTCTTAATTACTGTTATTAATTCATTTTGTCAATTGAAGTAGTGTATTTTGACTTACTTCTACATTTTCTTTTGCTGCATCACTAATGATTTTGCTGACTACATTCAAGTTAGCTTGCTTGTCAGCACCGGATGTCATCTGACATACTGCAATTCTCTTGGTACTACTCATTGTACTCTTATATGCTTGGCGAATTACTTGGATTCTTGATATTTTAGATAGTAGATTTAAACTCCAATTCTGTGAAAAACAAAATATATTTTATACAAGTTTTTTCCCGCGTCCATGCCTGCGCGTATGTTGGTTCATCATCAATCATCATCCCTTAAAAGTCCACTGCTGGACATAGGCCTCTCCTTAGAAAGGAGGTTTTGGCCTACTATACCACGCTGGCCAGACGGGTTGGTATAGGGTTTGTGTCAAGTTTTCCTTCTCTCTGCAGTGCTGTATGTTGGTTATCTTGGTAAAAAGTAGCCTACGTTTTTTCTCAAGAATAAAACTATCTTCATACCGAATTTCATCTATTTCGATTCAGCAGCTGTTGATTCCCCATACAAACTTCGACCCCCCTTTTCGCCCCTCAAAGGATCATTTCAAAACTATCCTATGTCCTTTATCAGGACTCAAACTGTCTCTATACCAAATTTCATCTTAATTGGTTCAACGGTTTAAGCATAAAGAGCTATTAGCTAGAGCATTTATAATCTTGGTATAGATAATATACTCTGAATTTGAGTTTAGGGATTTCTGGATCCCTAAACTCAAAACTATTAAGATACACAAACTAGAGGTAATTGCAGATGTATTTGTTTAAAATGTTATCAATATCACAGAATTGAAGATGTTTATAAAGATTTATCATGCCGTTATCTTTATTTGAATGTTTTTTTAGAATAACAGGAATAATTTTAGATGTTATATGTTGAAAGAGATTATTGTTGCAGGGTATATGGAAACAGAATTTTTTAAAACATGGCAAAGATTATTTTAGTTGAAAAAAACGCATAATAAATAGGTGCATCTAAAATCTGTGTACAGCACACCGCTATGTACACCTTTACGATTAATAGGGTGAGAGTACCTATCTAAAAGAATACAGTAAATCATAATTATAATCATTTGAATTTGAGTACTTCAAAATAAAATTAAAAAAGTTGAAGTAATATTTAACGTTAAAAATTTTTTGGCGAATGAATGCAGTATTCACTTTGTAAAACATTTTTAACATAGAAAGGTTGCTTGGTGAACACTATTAAAAAAAATACATTATTACAAACACAAAAAACATTTTTATCGTAAATTATTAAAGAATGGTAGCAATCTTACCGAGATTGGTATCAAAGTTTAATTGTAACTATGAAAATCGCACATAAACATGATACTTACGGTATCACATTCATCCTACCACCTTTATGCAGATGATTTTCAAATATATACACAAGCACCGTTACATCAATTATCTGAAGCCTTTTCAACTATTAGTCTAGACCTGGCGCGCGTGTGTGACTGGAGCAATGAGTATGGAGTTGTAGTGAATCCGTCTAAGACCCAACTTATTGTTGTGGGCAGTCCCGGGATGGTATCAAGAATAGACTGGTCACAATTACCGAATATAATGTTCAACGGTACTGCACTACCAATGAGTACTTGTGTTAAAAATCTAGGGATTTACATTGATAATACCTTATCCTGGGGCCCCCAATTGCGAGAGGTCAGTCGAAAACTGTTTGCATCGGCGGGATCCTTGCGAAGACTACGCAATTTTCTCCCAACGGCAACTAAAATTGCGCTTGCACAATCCCTCCTCCTTCCTATACTCGACTATGCTGATGTCAGTTATCTCGATATCACGGAGGAGCAACTAGATAAACTTGAGCGCCTTCAAAACTTTTGTATAAGATTTATATTTGGATTGCGCAAATATGATCATGTATCTGAATATCGCAATCAGCTTAAGTGGCTCCCAATTCGCCTTCGACGGAATGCTCATATTCTTTCCCTTCTTTATAGTATTATATTTCATCCGTTTACTCCAACTTATTTAAAGGAACGATTTGTTTTCCTTGGTGACACACATTCGAGGACCCTGAGGTCATCTGAATCTCTGGAACTGGCAGTACCATCTCACTGTACCACGTTTTACGATAAGTCGTTTACTGTACAGGCTGTCCGACTATGGAATGCTTTGCCAATGCCTATAAAACGTGCAAAAACTTTATCTACCTTTAAAAAAATGGTCAAAGAACACTACCTGTCATTTTAATTTATTATTTACATAACATATCCTATCTGCTGTATTCCTCTGCAAATGAATGGTAGAGTTTATGTATTTGTTTATGTATTATATAATCCTTATAGTTAGTATTTACTTGTATTTATATAAGTAGGTATTGCTGGGACTGACTGCTGTATACAATTGACACTACTTTGTTTTGTAATTGTCAAAGGAATGCTGTTGTGCTGTATAAATATTATTCTTTTTGTTTTTAGTTTCCTTTACACTTTTTCTCACCAAATCTGCCCATGAAATTACCTATTTACAGTCTATTTGTCCATCCAAAGGTTGCCTGTAAGATATTGCTTTTTAGCGATAAGGCCGCCATTTGTACATGGTCATTAACCTTGAATACTATTGTATGTATAATATCCTGAATTGGTGTACAATAAAGATTATTCTATTCTATTCTATTCTACAAAACAACTTACGGCCAAATATGCGTAAGAACTTTAATACAATCGTATGATATAAAACAATGATAAGACTGTTACCAGGTTGTCGGCAACATTAAAATGTTGTAAACATAACAAACATAGGTACCTAACCTCAATACTAATCAATAATAAACAATAACAAACTTACCCGCATCATACAAATTAAAAACTATTTGGTGGTATTTTGACACAAAAGTGAACTTTGTATCTTTGTTTATTTTTTGATAATTTCTTGCGAATTTTACGTTCATACATCGCACATTTTGACATTGACTGTACTGTAGACGACTACGATACGTTACACAGCGCATAATTACTATGTTACATCAAGTTACAAGAACCATAAGATGCTAATAGGTTTATTGCAATAAATAGTGTACATTTAATTTTGTATTTTTTTTTATTAAAATCAATGCTTTGGTTTTTATCAGATTCTTTAGTAAATTAACCAACTTTTTTTAAGAGAGGAGCGTGTAAAGAACCAACATGGGTACGTTCGAAACATAAATATTGAAAACATTCATTTAATTTTCAGAAAATCTTTAATTTTCACTCAAATTGTCCTTTTTTTTTCAGAGACGTTTTGGCTACTTTTTATATAGTTTTAACTATTTTAAAGTATTAATTTTTGATTCTACCTTTATAAAATGCAAATTGAAACAAGTGTATGTCTTTGTTTAACCAAACTTTTAATATTTGAACGCCCAGGCAGTCTAGAAAAATCTGCTGAGTGTGTGGGACTGCTGTCTGTTATAAAAATAATTTTCTTTCGAGATCCCGGTGATTTTCTGTTCTTGCTATTAAATAAGTAAGTTATGCTTGAAACTAAGGAAGGGGCCGCGGGTGAGGTAAGTTATATTTCCTACAGTAACATGAAAAAAACTTTCTAAACAAATACAATAAAAAGATTTTTTATATTTATTGTTTTTTCTTTGCAGGAAGATAAATTATATTCATAGTTAGATAGATAAAAGAAAGGGGAGTTTTAGATGGTACTTAAATATTCAGATAACAGAGAGGAGACACTTTTTGCACCTTTTTACAAAAAAATCTGCTAACTTACCCAGTCAAACTGTCTGAGCGAACAGAAACATATCCTGTAACTATATTGAAAATAATAATAACATTTGTACTGTAAAATTAAAACATAATTTGCAAAAACAAATAAAACCTAGTATCTATACCACCTTTTATTTGTTGATTTGCTCGAATTTGTTATTAAAACACAGAATATTGAAATAAGTTTTCTGTCATATTAGGTATTAAATGTATAACTTTGTCAAATAAAATGAAAAATTTACAACTACATCAATTCCTTTGATCGATATTTGTTGATTAAAAAGTTGCCTGATTTTACATGGCCACAAGTCTTGTGTTACGCTAATTTAACCGCAATATTGTTACTGGTGTAGCAGCTGCTAAGGGTATAATTTTCAAGTGCAAATAATTGCAAAATACATCAAAATAACATTTTACCTATATGCTCTAAATGCAACATCTTTGTAAAGGTGTTTAATGTTCAAATATATAAATATGTATTTTAAATACAAACATATTCTAGATAAATTACATTTATTCTTTAATTTACTTAAATTCTTTTATTTGTCAACAGCCCATAAAACCTAAGATCAAACATGACTGGTACCAGACAGAGTCACAGGTGATCATCACAATACTCCTTAAGAATGCACCGCAAGACAAGCTCAAAGTTAATTATGGAGAACGGAGTGTAAGTATAAAGTAATTAGCCTATTAACAATAAATTCAGTTAGACTAGGAATAGACAACTAGCTTCACAACTAACTTTACCTGACTCACGTCTATTATCTTGGATCTGAGTCATCCAGATTTTGACCAATTGTGAGTCTATCACTTAGTGGTCATATAAACATGATCACTTGGCTTCCACATAACCAAAATGACATACTTCAATACTATCTAATGAAGACACACTGGAGTTGCAGAAAACAGTAATCATGCATCACACAATATACAAGATAGTTTTCTCGCTGATATACAACTACCCAACACAAACCATTGGCCACACGCATGTGTGGCAGGCCACAGGCCACCTGATCTCGTCAGAGGATCCTCCCTGGTTGGAGGGACTTACCACCTGGGCCTCAATTTTGCTATTTTATGTTAACGTACAAGCCACTATCATTCTGATTGGCACGCTATTGAGATGCCATTGACATCGGTCAAAATATCGGTATTCTACTAACATAAATTCACAATGTCCCTGTTTGTTCACATTGGCATTAGGGACCATCCATAAATAATGTTACACAAATTTAATAGTTTTTGACTCCCACCCCACCCCACCTTGTCACAGCTAGTCAGCTGATCATTTTTGTGTCTCTAGTTACCTCTCTAGTTACATCAAGAGATTATTGAATTAAAACAGCAGTGCCGAAATTAGTTTTAATTCCATTTGAATAATTTTTAATAAAACCAACATACAATCAGACATAAAAATCAACATCAAATCAAACATTAGAAAAAATTTTTAAAACAAACATTCAATGAATTATATTACTGTTAATAATTCAAATTTCGCATTATAATACTCTAATATTGTGTGAAACTTAGGACCTCTTCCACCCCGTGTCACACCATGTTACATTTCGTCGACCCCCTCCCCTCTTAACGAATGGCGTATGTATGGATGGTCCCTTATACAAATAGGTTGCTTTCTCATGAAAAATATAATCTGTTTTAGCTATCCCTAACAAGTGCAATACCAGACTCTGATTCAGAATACAGTCTGGAATTAGATTTGGCACATGAAATAGAACCTTGTATGTGCACGCATGTAGTCACCTCATCCAAGATCGAGCTAAAGCTTAGGAAGAAAGAGGGACTGAGATGGACGCAGTTAGAGGGAGATAAAAAAGAAGATAAAATTAAGGCTATACCTCAAGGTAAGTGAAGCTTCATGACTGAGAAATGTACCGACGGCAGAAAGCGGAAATGTCGTATTCCGGTAATTGGCCTAAATGTAAAACATACTATAGTTCATTCCCATTAAGAAAATAGTGACACATGGATCAAGCCCCTCACCCTGACTTTATTGACTTACCCAAGGTACCAAGGTTTAGCACGAAACGATAATTTCTTGCACCTGATTGAAGAGGGGTCAGGGCTTGGTCGATGCGTCACTATTTTCTTAACACGAATGGACTATAGTATTTAATAAATCAGACAGAATTATCTGACTTTTATAGGAGTTATGAATTTTTGAAAACGTCATTGGTCTCTGTTATAAAATTGGATATTTGAAATACGACAAATTCGCTTTTAGATTTTTTTATTATAATTGTTTTGTTTTTTCTTCAATCTGGAGTTTTGAGCTATTGAATCACATATCTGTGTGGACTTGACTATCTGACAACAGCCAACTCGTGTTACAGATGTAAGATCCTGAGATCCCAGAGCTTTTGCTTGATTTCCCAACATTTTTGTTCATTTTATAAACGATAACTCCTACGGTAGGCATATATCTTGTGTCACGGGGGACTTTACAAACATACATGGAATGGACACAAAGAACACCCAGACTCAGAACAACAATTTGTGAATCACAAATTAGTAGCAATATTAAAATTGCTTTGCCATTAACGAAAATATAATAGCAGGACCATAGCCCTGCAAAGAGAAGGAAAAATTGAAACAAACCCTATACCAACCCGTATGCAAGGCAAAAAACTCTTTTCTAAAGAGTGGCCTGTGTCCAATGATGAGGATTAACGAAAAATTAATATTTCAGCTGTCATAGATGCGTCAGGACCGCAAAAGCCACCGAAGCTATTTAGAAAAGACTGGGACAAGATTGAGAAGGATATTAAGAAAATGGTAAGTAATTAAATAATCCAGCTTACATTTTGTTGCCATGAAGGACTAGTTACTATTCTATACCCGGACGCTGGACACTACTATCTGGCATATAAGCAGTTACAGAATCCCTGCTAATATTATAAATGCGAAAGTACTGTCTGTTACGCTTTCACGGCTAAACCGAGTAAGCCGGAAAAGAGTACAATACTTAATTTGACCAATGAGCGCACACGTTGTCTGTCAGATGTTACACATCATATACGACTCGGAATATGGCAAAATTGTTACCGAGTTGGTTAAGTTAACCGATCTTAGTCAGGTCAGTCTATGGATGGGTGACTATTCTTAACACGTTGAGACCCTCCGTGCGAGAGCGCTTTAAGCCGTCGGTCCCGGTTGCTATACAAACATTTGTGGCAAACGTTACGGGCAGTTGGAGCTCTAAAAGGTCCGACAACATTTTTTCTACATAAATTGGCAGACGCTCCACGTAAAAAATCGAAGTGCAGCCGTATCGTAGTAGACATAAAGCCGACCCCAACCTAGTTTGAGAAAAGGTCTCGGAGGAAGTGGAAGAGGCACATCATATACAAACATTGCAAGGCTCGCACATTTATTAAGTCAAGTTAACAACTTCTTACCCCAACAGAAATGTGACAAATTATTATAAGTATACCACATTTCTGTTGGGGTAAGAAGTTGTAAACTTATTGTTGTAACTTCCAAAGTCACTTACATTATGTGTTTTTATGCTAAAAGTTATTCTTCTATGTTTGTTGTACAGGAAGAAGAAGAAAAGCCCGAAGGTGACGCAGCACTAAACGCTCTATTCCAGAAGATATACGGAGAAGGATCTGATGAAGTCAGGAAGGCAATGAATAAGAGCTTTGTAAGTTATCTATATTTTGAGAATATTTTGGACATGACTTAGTTGGTAAAGTACCATAAAGTAAAAAAAATGTGGATGTGAGATTGTATGGAAAATGCAAGACATTAACTAATGCAATTTATTATGTGTTTTATCACAATGCACGAAAGTTTTATTTTACTTTGACTGCAGTGAACTTCTCTTCTATGTTGTCTTCTAATCGTTATAATATTGGTTTGAGTGTCTAGAGCTTCTTCAACCATTTGTGGTCAATTTTCGCCCAGTCTTGCTTAACAGTTCACTGATCAGACTTAAGGCTATGAGAGCTGTTCAGATTTAACAAGCAAAGGTTATTTGTTTTTTTTCCTAGTGTGTAGTGGGTTACAGGAACGTAGAATAAATATTGCAGTTTCCTCAGGCTCTCAGTGAATAATGTTCTGTTTGTAGATCCTTAACAGACTTTTTGCAAAGGATCTGTGTGACTGGAAACTTTGTGCCTTTAGAACTTGTAGGTTCTGAGTGTCAACTACATGTATCTATAACTTGTCAGGTGGAGTCCGGCGGCACAGTCCTGAGTACCAATTGGGATCAAGTTGGCAAAGACAAGGTGGAGATGAAGCCGCCAGATGGCGTTGAGTTCAAGAAGTGGGAATAAACCAGCACGAACACTGAAGCGTGGCTATAGCTAAGGGCATATTGTCTCAATGGGCTTTGCATAATATAATGCCTGCCATTTCTTGACGGCTGTCTTGACTTTATCTAGAAATACATTCTAATAGGTGCTAAAATTTATCTATTTATTACCTGGCTAGTCGAGTTTCTTGGTTTTGCTTTAAGTTTTAAAGGTTGTTTTAATTGGACTGGTAAAGAAAATTCCATCTAATTAACTGCCTTTGCCATGCGCACATGCAAACTAGATAACACTATTATTCCCAAGCAATAGCCGCAATTTATTTGAGGCCACTTATAAAAATTCTTTGCAATGCATTGGGCTGTTAAAATAATAAATACGAGATTTCTGCCACTATGGTTAGGTAGAGGGGGGTGAGCGCTGATGCAAGGAGTACTCTCTAAACCTATACCTGGGTCGCAAGTCCAGGGCACTGTCGAAGTCGCATGTGTTGCCTCCCTCTATCACGCGACGGACTCGGCACCCGCACAGTGAATCCATGGAACGCTAAGAAATAGGTCTTCGATAGCCTTTTTTAATGAGCCACCTGTTGTACCATTAATTAAAAAAAGGTTAGTTATTGTAAGCTCATAGGTACTCAATTAGTAGCCATGTGATATAAGCCCTTGGCTATAACAATGCATATTATTAGGTTTCATAATAATATATAATATTATAGATAGTTTTTATATGTTGTTTATGGATTATGCCTGTCCATTTACAGAATTGTAAGGAATGATGAAATATGTAATTGAAGACAGTAAATAAATGTTGTCATTTACGTCATATTTGTTATTTTATTCACATCACACATCACATCAACAGCCTTGAATAATCCACTGCTGGATATAGGTTATTTTATACTACCACACCAAAATATATTTTTCAATGACAAAGCCTGCGCTGGGAATATATCTTGTGTCGTGGGGGACTTTACAAACATACAAGAAACACAGGCCAAAAGCCTACCTTAGGTACCAGTCTTCCACAGTATTAATTCCGATTTTTGTTATTGTATGTTGTGGTATTGATGAGATAAAATAAAAATTATGGACACAAAGAATGCCCAGACTCATAATAATAATTTGTAGATCACACGAGTGTTGTCGCATGTGGGATCGAACCCACAACACTCAGCACGGCAGGAAGCGACGAGATGACCAGCTTAAACCGGTGACCACGTTTGGCGTGCCGCGGCCCTACGGTTGATGTTGGTCGGTTGCATAATGTAATATGCTAATCGACTGAGAACATTCATTGCGCGATACAGGATTACCTAGTATTTATCCCTTATTTCGGCGTCTTCGTTAGATAGATGGCACTGATGGTATGTTTTTGTTCCATAATCTATGGAAATCGCCATATCAGTTTGTATATTTCTCAAAACTTTTGTCAGGCCTGGCCAATAAAGAAGAGTTGCCTTTACTACTTCTTGTTATTAAAACACCATGCTATTTATCGCCCCTATCCTAACGGCTAAGAGAAATGTAAGTACGTTTATTTAGAAATATATATATGCTATGATTGTCCACTATTACGTAAACTATAGTCTACAAAATGTAGGCGTTTAATGTGCCCAGTGGCGGATTTCCCCTAAGGCCCAGTAGGCCTAGGGCGGACAAATATTCGGGGCGACTGATTGTGACAAAAAATTCATTGTACATTCACAAATAACTAACGAAGTACCTAAATAATCTAATTATGGCAAGCTGCACGAAAATTTTCACATTATGTATGTATAATAGAATATTTATTTATTTATTTATTTATTTATTTTGTGCCATTATCTGACAAAATGGTTTTAGGCTTGCCACGATGAACCACAAAACGGTTTAAGGCGGCCATATACGCTTCCTTGGTTAGGCTTGTGACGAGCTCAATGTGTACAGCCTTAACAAACAAATATGTATAGATAGGCCTTTATAAGCTTCCCTCGCCTCCTTTGATCGGACATCAATACTGGCCCAGCATAGTTAACACTGCAATTGAAAAACGGAAATTCCAAGTGTGTCCTAGAAGAGGGCAGTTGGCCCAGTATGGGTTTCAAACGTAAAAAATTTACGTGCGTACGTCTACGTTTTAACTCATTAAATAAGTTGCTGAATTCACCACGTATAGATCTCATCCTCCACAAATTATGTACCCAGAATTGTTTTTGCTTCAACATATCAGTTTATATTTATCTCTTTTCATTTTGAACAAGAACTGCTAAAAATACTAATTCCCAAGAAATGATAAAACTCATACCATGATGGGCAATAGCGGCTGATGTATTGGGGCCTAGGGCGACCAAGACTGCGAAGAGGCCACTGGCTGCACATTATGTGCCTCTGTTTGCCTCTTCGGGGATAAAAGACTTAAGTTTATGTATATTTGTTCAACTCAAAAGAAAAACAAACGTTTTTTGTAGTCTGTTTGTTTGTTACGAACTTTTTCTTAGATTAATCTTGCACCATACCATACCATCTTGGCCAGTCTGTTTTCCTGTAACGCCGTGATATCACTCCCGTGAAGCCGGCCCATTTGTGCTGAACCATGGATCTCTTACAAAAGAGGAAAAGTTGATATGTAAAAATAAAACAAATAAATGTATGTATCATTTAATGACTAAATACATCAATACAGAAAGGACTTTTAGCAATATTAGCATTATTCTTAAATATACTAATACTGAAAATATACTTTTTATTAAATATATTACATATTGCAATATAAATACATTAGGTAATTATATTTGTTAACAGTTTTTCAGTTTACCCGACTGAATCGGCTTTCTTCGGAACCATTGAGTGATCTTCATCAAGGAGGGAAGCCTCATATACGAAACTAATCGGACATCCCCGAAATACACGTTTGAATAAAACCGTATATATTTACTTGATATTTATTGTGTTTAGTTTTAAACCATAATACATACATATACATCGGAACAAAAACCATCAAATTCTCATGCCGTTGACACGTCCAGTCATGAGAACTCCCTAATAGACGACAACATGCATATGAATACAACTTCTGCGAGGAGTATTCATAGTTACTGTTATTAAATATACACGACTGTGAGCGTGTATTGTAGAAGTTGGACAAGTACTTTGATGCAGGACCCCTTTTGGGACGAGGAGACGACGTCTGCGTGTGCCGGACGTCTCCTAACTAGAGAATATACCCGAAGGTGGTGCCCGCGCCGTTGCGGGCAGGCGCTAGGAGGGGTCCGGATGTCTTAATAACAGCAGTTCCCGGATCCCTCCTATTATAGGCGCAGAGTGGCACACCGTGTGGTTTTAGTCGGTCCGACTCCGACACACCACCCCGCCGTAAGCCCCGATGAGGTGACGGCCTATATATTTCTACACGTAAAAAAAACCCTTTTGGGAACTAATCTCATCGGGCTTCCACACACGCTAGAATAACCATATATCTTTAATTATAAGGCAATAGAAAAAAAAAAACATTGCCTCTATAGATTTTTCTGTCTCCTTGATCTATTAGGTTAGGTTAGTTATTACCCCCGAATAAAATTACGATAAAAAGTCAGTAAGATTCATTATGCGACACATTTAATTTTATACATATGACTTATTAATGTAATTAAACTATTCAGATCTACATATACGAATTAAGATTTCTATCATGTCAAGTCTAAAAACAATTTTAATCTCATTACATCTTGAAATAAATATAAGCTTCCTAATTGTAGTGCGGGTAAAAATAATCTATCTGTTTTAAATTGTCATATGAAATTAATGTACACTTACATAGCAATTTAAAGGAGTTTCAATTAATCGATTGTTAAAAAAAATGTGATTACAAGTTGTACTCGTGGAAAAAATTACAACATTTTCGAGACAAAACTGGTTTTATAATTACACAATTATTGACAAATATAAAATGAGATTAAAACTGCTTTAACAAGTTTTTAATAAACGGCATAGTTTTAATATAATTTAATATTCTTTACTAATAAAATAACTAAGAAGTAGGGAGAATGTTAATATTATTAGTAAAATTTTATAAAAGAACCACTTGATTTCGTAAACAATTGATTTAATTAAATCCATAATTCTCCATCCAGAAATTGTCATAAAAATTGCCAGAGTTTTTTAAAGCATGGCAACCCTTTTTAGATCAACGTTTTCCCTACTCCCATAATAATAATAAAACAGTAAATTAGGCCAGATTTATCTACTACCGGATTACAAATAATATGTATGTATATACATATAATATAAAATAGGTATATCTTTGACGTATTAGTGACAATCAGGCGAGAGACGTCTTCAATATATCACTACCTTTTTGCATTTAAAACCCTCGCGGGTACTACATCTAACAGGGCACAAAACGAGGTAGTTTTTATAGGCTGTAATGACACGCGGTGTCCTTATGACGATAGCCTAAGGCCTGAATAGGTAAAGAACATCAATCGAGACCCAGATTTTTGTAATGATTGATTGGAATATATAATTCCGATCATTTTAAACTTAGAATACTCACTAAACTATTGAATAACAACTTGTGACGCCTTACCTCAATAATATGAATCGACATTAGTGAAGTATGACGTCACAACTTGTTAAATAATATCAAACTTGTATAATTTTTTAATTGATAAATAATTTGTTTTAAGACTACCGTATGCCTTGTTTTTGGGGTTTTTTCAGTTAAATAATCTCTTATTTATTATCATTTCTTTTTCATATTTCATTTATATTTTTCACTACAGTCAACACTATTTTTTGGTATTCGTTACGATGTCCCTTACAGCCTGTATATCCATCGATCGGCTATAGAATATTTAAGACTGTTGGCTGTAGTAAAAAATATAAATGAAATATGAAAAAGGAAATAATAACTGTATAAATACATGGCTATATGTTGAAGTTAGAAAATGACATATAGAGACAACAAATCGATTAATATTTCCCAATCAGATGAAACGAGGACCTGCAAATCGCTGCCATCAGCGATTTACAGGTCCGTTCGTC